GAGACCAAGATGACAATACATAACCTCTTTTTATTTACATTTTTTTTAATCCTACATCCTCACTCCAGCCAGACCAGGCCACTTATAGCATGCTGAATGACAAACAGCAGCTCATTTCCTTTCACGTAAATAATTCCCCGCGAGTCTTTAAACAAATGATGACCTCCACTCTCAGTTATGAGTTCTCCCTCCTCAAACAAAAGATATTGTGTCCGTCTCTATTGAGGCGCCTGAGTGTGATGAAATGTTTAATCTCACGAGGCTCTGTGTGGGACTGACTTAGCAGGTGCAGACGGGCGAGGGCACAAAGATGTCACCTCGGAGACTGAGCACACAAGGTCAGCTATGCTCCCATTGTGAGAGACGCACACAACACATAGAAATAACCACAAAGTGAAGGTCTGAACAGATTTATGGGCTTTTTTCGCACGTTTGCATTTATGCTCCCACATAGACCATGAAATAATCGCTTTTATTCTGAAAGACCAACATTTAAAGGTGGAAAAGTCTTCAACTAATATTTGGTATTTTTCAACCACCTCCTGTTTTTAGTTTTTAACTATGAGAACTGCTGTTAAAAGAAAAGCGCAGAATCTCATCCACGCTAACTCAGTTCAAACTAATCACACTGCACCGCCCTCCACTCTCCGAACACACGGGGAGATTAGGATTGTGCAGGATCAGCAGTGAGCTGAAAGGCTTGCAGGTGGGATATTGAATCTTAAATCTCAGCAGCGGGCGGTGTGTGTCCGCTGAGTGGAGATATGAGCGAGTGTCAAGCTGAAAAACAAGCAGGCCTCGTGATGTGTGCGCTGATGGGTTGTCTCGGATAAAAGAAAATGCATGAAGAGGGCGCAGAGCAATAAAACAGATGTGTGTATTTTTTGCATTTTTATGCATGCAAAACATAATATAAAAACTCTATAATTGTCTCTTTGTCTAAAATAATGCCTTTACTGACTCTTGACCTCAGTTTAAGTCTCATGTGGGTTTCTGCAGCTCTCCTCGCCCAAGTTTTATCGTCCTGCCAGACTCACGTAACAGTCTAAAGTCTGTTTATAAAACCCTCTAAATCACCAAAACATGAACAGAAAAAGGCAAACAGAAAATAAATGTTTTTGTTTTTTGATCCTGCAACACTTGAGAACAGCACAACTATCTGATCAGAAGTTCTGTTGTGAAACTCAGCAATAATCTCTGAGGGGGTCCACACATTTTGGCAGTGATTCTAACCTGAGGAATCAAATGAGCATGAAGACACATGCAGCCTATTATCTGAAACAACAGCAGGGATCTTCCTCTGCGGAGAAGGTGCCACAGAGTCTGCTGTTTTTGTGCAAGAGCATCAGAGGGAAAATCAGCCTTGTTTGTCAGGTGTGTGTGATTTTGCTCTCCATGCTAAGTTGTTGTCAGACATCTATCTGGGGCTGAAACGATTCCTTGATTACAAAAAATGATAGAGGAATTTTCTCTGCCTAGAGTTCTCGTTTATAAGCTCAAATCATCACTGTTTAGCACAGATTATTTTCAAGGTGACACAACGCTCTTACGTCACCACGGTAGAAGGAGGAGTAAACGCAGTTTCGGTCTTGCGGAGCAAAAAAAATGATGATGAACTCAACCTCTGAGTCGTTGGCGGGGACAGCGCTGCTCTGCACACTCCCCCTCACGCTAGCTTGTAGCCTAACAGAAGAAACAGGTTACACAGGACCTATTCAGCTAATGTCTTTAGGGGCGTGATGAAAGTTCATATCATAATCCATCGCACACAGTTGTTCCGCGCTCCTTGTTTCTAAAAAAGGAAAACGATTGTTCATTATCAAGTTAGATGTCTCATTTTAAATTATCATTCTTGTTTTGTATCATCAGGCATTAGCGTTTATTTCAGTCTACCTCTTGACCAGATAAAAACTACAACTGCACGTTGTAAATTGTTGTAAAAGTTTTTTAGGTTGAGTGTTTTTGACTCATCTCTAACTCAGTGAGTCCACGCGACACAAACTCAAAACTTCCATACAAAACCTCAGACATTTGAAGGATTTTATAAACTCCCCCGGACACGGCGGGACAGCCCCCAAAAAAGAGGGCATGTCTGGGTAAAAGAGGACGTATAGTCACCCTACTGTTATGATTTGGTGGAGTGTCTTTAAGTATCTTGAAAAGTGCGATATAAATAAAATATTTCTTTCTAAAAAAGATCCAAACAAAAGTTGAGATAATTTGGATTTTAGCTGAGCATTGGCGAAACACCTAAAACACTGAAGCATACATTTCCCATAATGTTAGAGTTTATTTGTTCTTTGTCAAACAACGTCTAATTAAGTTCTCTCAATTTGACGCTGTTTAATTGAAAAATGACATTTCTGGAGGTCCAATGACACACCTCATTTACAGAAGTGTCGTTAAGGCCCGCAGCATCTTCCCCGTGTGCCACTCCCCACTCTCTCCCCACTCCCTGCCCCATCAGCTTTCTTGTCCTCTTAAAAAAAAAAAAAAAAAGGCCAAAAATCCCAAAAATAAAATCCATACACATAAACTGTGCTCCAGTTTTCTTGGTAAATTTTAGACGTTTCAGCACAAAACCACAAGCTGTCGTAAAATTGAACTTTTACCTCATTTTTCTCCAAAGGCCAAGATCAACTAATCCTCTACTACTGAAAAAAGTGTAAAAGTGTGTGATGTAACATTTTAATCACAGTCCAGGATTGTAAATAGATGGATTAGAGCACTAACTCTGGAACATGAGCCAATGTTGCACAAGAAGAGCTAATCAAAACCACTGCTGCAACTTCAACTCCCATGATGCAATCTTGTGAGAAGAGGACTGTTTAATGTTGGAGACAAACATAACCCCCCCTTTTATTCTGGACTTAGTTTCTGCACTCTTAATCCTGGTCTTCATTCTGATCTAAAGACACTGACTTCATTAGGAAAGAAGCTCATTACCCGGATGCCACACTGTCAGTATGTTGGAAAGTTTAGTCCTGTGTTCTTTTTAAAGTCCATGATCTGCCAACTTCACTGCAAGAGTTCGGGTTTCATAACCTCCAATGGCAGCTTTGGTGTGACGTTTCTATGAAACAAGCTTCTAGAAAAACAGATGCATGAAATGTGTCTTCATGACTCATACTCAGTAAAACTAGAGTTTGACTGTTGAACGCATTACTTCAATACGGACATCTGATCCCCAGGCCTCAGCGTTCATTCCACCGTGTGTCATGAACTTATCAGCAAACTTCTGCGTCAGATCTGAGATCTCCACAGAGAGAGCAAGTGAGACTTAATGAAGATAAAAAATTCCGACATGACATGTCAAACTCGTCGGAAGATTTGAGTTTTGCCACGTTCTCTTGATTCCTTGGTGCTTCCAGGCCAGGCGAGAGATATAATCCCTCCTCCTGGTACTGGGCCGGCCACGAGGTCTCCTCCCTGTGGGACATGTCTAGAACACCTCTAACGGGAGGTGTCCAGAAGGCATCCTAACCAGATGCCCGGGCCACCTCAGCTGACTCCTCTCAACAAGGAGGAGCAGCGGCTCTTCTCTGTTCCATCCAACCCTCACTCATGAACAAGATCCCAAGATACTTCGACTCCTCTACTTGAGGCAGGACCGCCCCTCCGACCTGGAGAAAGCAATCTACCTTTTTCCGACTGAGGACCATGGCCTCGGACTTGGAGGTGCTGATTCCCATTCAGCCGCTTCACACTCGGCCACAAACCGCCCCGGCAAGAGCTGAAGGAAGTCGACCTGCAACTAAACCGAAGAAACCACAGCTACTCTTCCACTGCTATTTGAAATACAAAGAAAGTTTGACCTAAAGTCTCCTGAAACTGTCAAAATAAAAAAAGCTGTAGATATCGATATCGAGTTTGAAATTTTAGTATCATGACAACCCTTAAAAGTACTGCCCAGACCAAAGTGAAGATTGAAGGGAAGCAATGGGATCGAAGGCAAGTGAAGAATCACTCATTCGATCTTTGAATGCAGCCAGACAGGAAATTAAGTTTGTTGGTATCAAGATACATAAAGCTCAATTATATGAGTGTAACAACAGTATGGGAAGCATGCGTAGGGGAAATAAAACAGGATCTATTACGTATCCCTGAGGCACACCACAAGACAAGGTAGCAGTCTCTGATGTGTGAGGGTAAAGTGACTCGATAAAGACACTTTTCTGAAGGTACGACAGAGAACAAGAGTCTCAAATGAGGAAATAAATACAATTTCAGAGTATGGAGTCATAATCTTATGAGACTAAAGTTAGAATATCACCAAAACAAAGTTGTACATGTATAAGAAAGAGATTATAATTTCAGTTTATGTTTAGTTTATATGTTATTTTTTATAGGCAGGACTGTGTCATACAGTTCTTTGGATATGAATCGGATATTCTCCACGTCTTTATTTTGGCCAGTGTTAGTCCACAAAAAGACATGTTACTGTAGAGTTAGATGACATCTGCTCTACAAAAGTACCTTGTTCAGCACAGCTTGGTTTGAATCCACCAATGAGATTAAAACTGAGTAATGTTCCTGCAGCCACGACTCTTATCTGCTTTTCTCATTCAGGGTTTCAGTCTTTCCTTCTGAGGTATCCGAGCAGACCGAGTGCCGACTGACGAACAGAGTTAAGATCGAGCAAACGTTCTGGCAGCTCTCCCTGCAGAACCTCATAACGTTTAATCAAAACCATGCCCGGTACTTGCCCTCCACTTTCCACCACATCTCCTCAAAAAGAAATCGAAGGACTCCCTTTTTTCTCCTTGTTGATATTTTTTCACACAGTGGAAAGTTTACACAAAGGAGAGCCTTATCCCTGCAGCCTGCCTCTCTCTTGCCTGTCCAAATACCTGCAGGATGAAATCAAACTCCGCTTTGAAAATTACATTATAAATCCCCCTCTCTCTCTCTTTCTTTCCTCTGAGCCTGTCAGATCAGCACAGCTTTCCAACTCTCCAGGAGAGGATCAGCCGTCATTCTGTGGGCGTCAGACCTCGGTGCAGGTCTTAATTAATACAAGCAGGGTTTCATGGGAGAGGGATGGAGCGCCGAAGGTTCCAGCCAAGAGAAAAAATACAAGCAGCAGCAACAGGTAAAATATCAAGTGGATTATGTGGATGGATGGAACCGCTCTGGAATTATTTTTCTCACAGTCATGTTTTCAAAAGTATAGGACACTCAGAGACACTTTCACACACGTCCTCCCAAGAGATTTTCAAGGGTCCTGTCCCTCGACTTTGACAAAGCACAATTGGAGGATGAAGGGAGATGAATCTCAGAAAGTGGGACATGATGGCAGATGCTATGTGTATAAATGAGCAAACATCTTTGCTGTCCTAGTATCAAAAACGACTCTTCTGCTACACTCAATGATTTAATCATCTTGTTGTGTGTCACTCCACTAAATTTGCACCAGTTGCATAAAACTGTCACTTTTTTCCAGGGTTTGGATTCGGCAGGCGATCAGACATTTAAAATATTACTAAGGCGAAACAGTGAAAAGACAGAGACCAGACTGACTCAGAAATGACTCTGTAACATCACAATTATCAGGGTATATTTGAGCGGACTAATTAAGACGCCCTCAGAATCCCATTAAAAACAAACAAAAAGAAAAGAACTGAATAGAGTTGTTTTCATTCAAAAAATAAACCCAAAATTCTTCTGGGGGCACCGACGGGCCCGAGCATTGTCACACTGGTACCTCTGTGGACCGCCTCCCCAGCACACTGCCACCATTTTGCACAGGAGGAGTTTTGAGAACACCTTAAAAAGTGGGCGAAAACCTCAAAATGTGGGCGTGGCCTTTGTGTCAAAAAGGCTTTTTTTTCATGTTGAGGTCAAACATAAGTGTCCTCTGTTTCACAGGCCTGAGTCACAGACAGGGACGGGGTTTAATTTTTAAAACTTTGTTCTCGGAAACTGGCCAAGTCTTGCTGTGCGTGATTCGGTGTCCAAACACCGGACTTTAAGATGGAAATTGAACGGGATGAATTGGTTGATAGGAAGAAAAACTCAATGGATGAAGAAAAGATGAAACTATCCTATCGCATAAAGAAACGGTATAGAGCTGTAAAAGTGTTGTTTATTTCATCCTGTGGGCCTCTGGATAAACGTTTTATCGATTGTTTTTGATTCGGAACACATCAACAGGGAGACGACCTGAAAGTAATAAGCCGAAAGGGAGCAGGTTGCCATCTACAAACTAGGACAAGACATACTCTAGTTAAATTTTAAAACTAATCTGTAGCTGCAGCTCCACTTAACTGTGCATGCAAACCTACTGAGTGTCAGTGAGTGCAAATTCAGAGCCAGCCATTGGACGGAAACAAGCTTCAGTGACCGTTTCAGTGTTTCCAGTCTAACTGGCTCAAACTTGTGAAACATATCTATCTTGCAGACATGAGAAAGGTATCAATATTTTCATTCTACCCTGGGAAAAGAAGTGAACAAGGATATTACCCAAAACTCTACTTACAAACTCAAAGGTTTTACCATCTGCAGAGAATCAGAGAAAATGGAAAATAAGAGAAGTAGGGTATGGCGCAATCCAATAAGAGGCCACAAATATGCGGACGGTGCTTTTCAAACTCTGTTCTCATTATATTCAGTAATACAGAAGGGAAATAAGACACCCACAAATCAAATTTTAACTCACAGTCAGCTTTTTTTGTAAGATTAACACGCCAAAAAGACTGATGAAGACCCACATCTGGCTGAACACGATGTGTGCGAGCCAGTTTTCCTGCAGGTCAGCGTATTAGTTTTCGTTTTTAATGAAGTCAGGAGTTCGGTGAAATGTGGAAGAATTAAAATAGGTCATGCACAAAAAGTAACTGCGTATAAAGAGAAGCAAAGATGGATGTTTCTGGAATCAATAAAAGCAGCAGAGGAGATGAACAATGAGCAGAAGTATTGATGGATTTCCTCTGAGGGTTCCTGCTGTAAATCTCAGGTGGAAAGGCCGACAGGTTTAGTGCAGCCCGGCCCACCGATTCAAGGTTCTTGTAATAATTTGTTGATCTGACTGAAAGTTTTATTCAGAGATGATGAAACAATCCCTGACTGCAGAGTATTCCTGTAAAGATTTATACCCTCTAATCTGAAAGCCATATTTCTGTTTCCTTTCACTGTGTGCCCTCAAGTTTTGTTTTTTTTACGATCTCTCTGGACTTGGTATTTCCCCACTTTGGATTTATTTTTTCCCTCATTTTTTTCCTTCTTAAATCTCATGGCAACCGTTCAAGTTTAGAGTAACTGAAAAACAGGATTTTAAATGAGAAGAAAAGGATGACATTGTTTTAGTTTCAGGCTGATTATGAGTTCATGTGCGTGTCGTTAGTTTTACTGTAAACTCAGACATAAACAGCTCTCACCACTGGGAGAGTCTGAGGGCCGAGATGTGGTCTGTCTGTGGTTTAATACTGTAGGAAAAGAGAGGGAAGAATAGAAATTAAAATGGCAGCAGGGAAGATCAGACAATTACTAAATATAAATTCTTCTTTTACGAGCCTGTTAATGGACTCGCTGAAAAGGGCAATAAATAATCACAGGTTATGACTTTACCCTTTAACGGAGGTTTCAAACACCCCTGGCCGAGCAGTCAGAGTGCTCTCTGTGTACAGAGGTTATGCCTCAGGGGATCAGCCTAGGTTTCCTAAATGCCGCTGCCCACTCGCTTCCCCCAAATCCCTGCTCTATCCACTGTCTATCCCCTAAATAAAGACACAAAATCAAATATAAAAAGAAAGAAGAAATATTGATTTGAGTCTTAGCCGTCGTTGGGAGTGTGGGTTTTATCAGTTTCATCACCTCCAGTACCACCACACTGTTTTTACGGGTTTATCCAAGATTGGCTGAGAGATCTGACATGAACTGACCTGACCTTTCAGAGATTTAAGAGTAAAACCTTCTACTCTTCACACCGACCGGTACTTTTCCCCTGAACCTGAGAATGTCAGTGATTTTCCAAATCTGCTGTTTGCTTCACTAGATTCCCTTTATTAGATTGTGAATGTCGTACTGAAGCGTAATATAAGTAATCCCAAGATATTCACATTGTGTGAGTGTGTGTGTGTGTGTGTTTGTGTGTGTGTGTTTTTGCCAGGCGTTGATCACTGAGATGTGGATCGATTTCAATCTGGGAGACAGAGTCGACCCTGTGAAGGCAAACAGCCGGGTCAAAACGTCACATGACCCTGACAACCTGAATCAGGGAGGCAGAGTAAGACGTGCCAACAACAACTTTTATACACACACACACGCGCACACACACAAACAGCACCTTCCTCAAGTATCTGACAGGACCCCCACAGCGGGCCACCCACTTTAAGAGTCCAGACTCTTTAAATTCTCACCAACAGATACACTTTCCTGAGTATTCTTATATATATATATATATTTACATTAGAGCTGGGACTGGATTAAAACATTTAATCTAATTATTATTATTAATCACGATTAATAATTATTAATTGCATATAAATGTTTGATCTGAGAACAGTGAGAATCATTTTTACAGTCGAGTGCTATCCAGTGAGGCAGAGAGTTTAATTTTTTTGATGTGGACTTGCTCATCTTAGCTCTGAATCCACTCATCTGGTCGAGTGTGGGTTGGGTGTGGGTCGCTGTACTCGGAGTCTGACTAAAGTTTGCTTCCACGCTTGCTGCAACATGTTTAACATTTAGGTGATACCAGAGGCTTGACGTGCTGCGGTGATATGCAAATTCTTTTTTGCATAGTTTGACAAATTTTATATCCAGGCTTCCATTCCCCTTTAAAAAAAAACAAAAACAAAAACAAAATTGCCCTTAGATGCCAGAGCCGACCAAAGCACATTAATCCGCGACTGCGTTCATTTTTCCACGCGCTGGGTGGGACTGGAATCACTGCTGCACGCCGGTATTAGCGATATACCTGAAACTCGTCTGGTGAGAAACATACCACGGTGCAAAAATACAATAGGTGCGATTAATATGCGTTGATATTTTTGACAAGATAATATTACTGTAATTAATTAATCGCAATTAACGCATTAAAGTCCCGGCCCTAATTAATTTGTATATACTGTAGTTCCTGCATATATGGTAGAATAATGTACATCCAATTAGAGCTCTCTAATTCAATGTGTAGAAATCAAATCAAACTGCTATTTTATGTTTTATATGAGTATATGATCTAACGTCTTGCTCATTTTTCTAATTATTTTCATAGTGATTTTTTTTTACACAAAGTTAAAATCAAGTGACGACTTTCTGTAACTTTTAAACACGTTAACAGCCAAGTAAAAATAAATTAAAAAACAGGTTTAAGTCTCATTTTTACTCCTCATGTCTATCAGGGTTTAATGTTTGGCTGTATAAAGGTTAAGCATAATGAAGTGTACTTAGGGGTGTGGCTGGTTTGACTGACAGGTCGTTGCAGTGTAGCTGTGGAAATCTCTCTTTGCTGGTTTGTTACTCAACTGTAAGCTAACACTGATTTAGAACCAGAATGACTAAAACAAGCACCTATCATGCAAAATATCTTGCATGCATGTAATAAAAAAAAAAATCAGGTGTGTATTGATTTGACTGGCTGTGGGTGATAGGTCCATTTAAATAACTGACTTTGATTCCTTCTGTACTTTTAATTAAGGTCAATGCTCCATCATCTTCACTCGTTTGTCCCCAGCGATCATCTTTCTAACACCTCTTGAACTAATGGTAAAAAAAAGTCCATGTGTAGAGTAAATAGGAGTGTGTGAAAGTGTGAATGACAGACTGCAGGAGTGAGGGCAGAGAATAACAAACTTGACATTTTATTGGTCGCTGTTAATAACGAAGGCTCCCACCGCTGTCAGTCCCGTCACGCTTCAACTGCAGCTCAGAATTTCACTTTACTGCAGAGAGGCTCCCCTTCCCACACACAGGAGGTCACAGGTCTCTAGATCTTTCTGTTAAACACCAAAACCACTTCCATCTCTTTCTGTCATGATTAGATAATTACAGTTACTATTTAAAAATCAACGTCTAAAGAAAAGATTTCCTTTAATTGAGGCCACGCCTTGAGGTCAAGTATTTACGAGATCTCTGCCAAAGACTGTAAACTGACCAGAAAAGCCTGTCTTACTCTGCTGATGATTTACAAAAGATCCGACTGTATTGTTTGTACTTGCAAGGTTGCCAAAACACAACACACTGACACATTAAGTTCACAGTCATCACAGTTGTATAACTCATTCACTTGATTCACATCTGATCAATCTGATGTCTGCAAAACACACAATGAGAATAAGGCTGAGGTAGGGGTGGGAGATAAATTATTCACGATTTATCATCAGAAATATACTCCAAGGTGAATATTTGCCATCTCACGATAAATGCAATAAATGCAAGTTGATGACTTGAGTGTGAGTGATGGAATCGCAGCCGTAAGCCACACATAGCAGAATAACGAACAAACATGGCCTAAGGTGGTGGAGAAGATGTTTCTGACCAGCTCGTTCCTTCAAGATTGGGGCTTAGACGAGTACAATCAGGGTCTGCCTGACATCGGACAGTGGATCTGCTGCTGCTGTTCACTCTGTGCAATAAGAGTTTTCGATAAATGTTGAAAATGTTTTCACATTTCAGATTAGTTTTCTCCGTAACCTATCACTTAAAGTTATGGTTACATACCTTGTTTTACTATGCTAACTGATGTTCTCAAGACAGAATGAGTTGAAAACATGGATTGGAATAATAACTGCTCAATACATCGTGATATTGATTTAAAGCCATATCACCAAGCCCTAATCCGAGTTGATTCTACTATGCTAATCAATTTCAAATGTTGTCTTCACATCACATGTATTTTATTATCACTTAATTGAATGCCTGAATATTTTTCGTTTACTTGCTTAGTTTGCAAAAATAACTTGCTCTGTTTGAGTGCAAAGAGTGAAAGAGACATCTCCAAGCAGATCAGTAAAACTGTCATCATTTCTAGTACGAAGAGTTCACCAAGACCTTTAGTAAGAGATCTGGAATAATATGACAGAGGTCTTTGAATGCTTTGACTCTGGTCTGGAGATGACCAGCGTGTTTGTTCTGATTATGTTTATTTAGACAAAGATAATAGCAGAGGACGGAAAAATGCTCTGAGTCATTTGTTCCATCACAGCTAGCCCATTGTCCAGACTCCATTCCTTTTTCTTTCTCTCTCTCTCTTCATTTGAACTTCACCAAGATTAATATCAAGAACTGCTGTTTCCTGAGGTGCAACAATGGAAAAACAAATATTTTCTCATTTTTCCCTCTTCTGCAGGCCTGCGCGAGGCATATTTCAACACTTCATTCATCAAACTATAACTGAGACCCCCTTTCATTATAGACACTGCACACCAATAATTCCAGACTTATTTCTTGCCAAGTCAGCAGGCAGCTTTGATTAAGTGCATGCACTTAAGTGTTTTTTTCCTGGTCTGTCTCTTAGGAGGGGTCATCCTTCATAACAAATAGCCGTTTGTCTGCACCACCTCTCCGAAGCTCTCAGAAAATTGGCTGTGGTGGAAACACTCACCCTCAGCCTCACAGGCACCACACTTATGGTTAGAAATTTACTCAGAGACACAGTTCATATTTTAAATAGGATTTTCTTTGTGCAGGGTTAATATAGGGCTGCACAATTAATCGATTTTAAATCGTAATCAGATTTTCCTCTCTATCATGTCTTGTGCCTCCAGGCCACCATAGGCTCCCCCTTCCTGCGGGAGCGCCCCCCAGTTCTCACACACACCAGTGTCAACAAACATGGCGTTTGCAAAAGAAGCCGAAAGTTTCGTGGCTAAATAGAACAAGAGCAAGTCAGTCATGTGGAATTGGTACCGCTTCGTAGCATCGGACGAAGAGCAAACCACTCCACGCTGCAAAGTCTGTCTGAAGGCGGTATCAACCCGTCCACACGGAAAAGAATTCAGGAGTAAACGCAGAAGTTTTTTGTCTGCGCTTCATCCACATGGAAACAGCGTTTCGGTGACTGTAAATGGCACTTTTTGAAAACGGGTCAGAGAGTGTATAAATCCGTAAACGACAGCCATTTCATCTCTGTGTGGATGTCTATCTGTATCTCTGGAAACGATCATGTGACACACAGCGCAACTCTTTTATGGCGCCTGTGCGTGTCTGACCAAAACAGTCTTTTTACGCATGCTCTGTACTCTTCTTCTGTCTTTTGTGCATTTCCTCCACAGCATTACAGCGCCACTAACTAAATTGGCTTATGAACTACATCGTTTTCAGTGTCGTTTAGAGAGATGATAGAAAAACTTGTTATTAAAGTGAAGTTTGGTGAACAGAATGAAAAACCTAAATCGAAAATCACGTTTTCAGAGACAAAAATCTGGATTTTATTTTTGGCCAAAACCGTGCAGCCCAAGGTTGATGCATACTAAATACTAGAATTTTTTAAAATGGTAATACTGATGATCTGAGGGAGCAGGTTTTAGGAGCTCTGTGAGAAACTTCCTGGTTGTGCTGATGTGAGTTTTTAGACATTAAAAAGAACTGCTTAAAAGTAGTCACTCTCTATCTTCATTGTCCTGTTAAAAAACATCAATATTATTCAGATTCAACCTTTTAAACTGCGATCCGATGGTCCCTCTGCTCTTTTAAGTGGACGGATAGCATCCATGATATCCAAAAGAATACCAAATTTTGATTTGCTAGACTAAAAGTACGGTTTTCCACTTTGCCTTAGACCACATTAAATGCGCGTACTTTTCTGGATCATGTTAATACAGAACTTTCTCATGAACTCTCAAGTAAAGTTGCCTTCTCCTAACACTAAAACATCTTCATTTGTGCAGGACTTAAACCATAAACTACCACGAGCTGTCCCCACTGCTGCTTACAGCTGAGAGGTCAGGGCCGTACCACCTGCAGGGTCGACCTTTGGAGTATTTGTGGCTCACCCTAAAAAAAGGATCAAAGGTGAGGAGGGTACTCTCTGTTGACATGCGAGGAAATATCAGGAAAAAAAACAACTTTCTATTTTTATCTCTGAAAACAAACTGGGTCTGCAGGACAGGAGGGGACGCTTTGAGAAACATTAATCTGTCAGAGCCGTCAACCTCCATCCGAACGATCATCTGATCTCATCTGCTGCACGGCTGCGAAAACATAAGAGCCTCCAAAATTAGGCTGAACACAGTAAATTGGCGACATTACTGTGATGGCCCCTAAAATAAGATGATTTTGGAGAAATAGTCGGGGCTAAAATTACTCAGCAATAACAATGAAGTTCCCATTAGTGTCTGAACAGTTTTGTTTGGATTTGTACGTTTCATGGCTGCAGACTGAGACCTGGCTCAGCTGTGCGGAGACTGATATCACTCCTATGTCTGTCGTGGCCAAGAGACAAATTAGATAAGCTTAGAATACACTGGAAATAGAACCGACGTCACACTGATGTCAGGGTTTTAACTGGAGGTAAAAAGGAGTGAGACTGGAGGTAGAAGGCAATACAGCGGTCAAATAATGACATCTTTTAGTGCTGTTGTTTCTGGAATAGAAATGTGTACCTGAAAGTGTCTGTGCAGAAGGAACAGCTCACCTGGCTCAGTTTAAGTAAACCTAAAAGTGGATCATAGCAATCATACATCAGTAGACAACAACATTTTATGTACCTGTCTGATGTTTTCATAGTCTCCTTCAACAGGTCGGAGCCAAAACAGCATTATTCTGACACGGAGTACGCTAAACCCCTGAAGGTGTGGGGTGGTAACTGGCACCAAGACATTAGCAGTAGATCCTTTTGAGGTGGAGCTTCATGCATCAGACTTGATTGTCTGGTATATCCTACAGATTTTACCAATTGTATTAAGCTCATTAGCTGCGTTTACATGGGCTCAAATAATCTGAATAAAAATGCGTCATGTTAACACGTCGATCAGAAGATTCTGATCCAATTCAGCTCAGAAATTGTATTCCAGTTGAGAGTGGTGGTTTATGCCGATCGTTATTCCGAAACCCGTCCACTATATTCCGATCATGAATCTCTAACCGGACTCGATCTTCACTCTTTAGCCTTTTGTCTTATTTATTGAGGTCAGTAGAAAAGGTTTCATTATTAAGACTCTGGCATAAAACACAAGTGCAGGTGCCGTGTCTGCTCCTACACTAACATAACAAGGCGTACATACAGCAAAATGATGTTACATATGCACGCACAGTGCAACCTTTGACAGAACAGTAAAATAAGTACGCAAGGGCGCCATCTAGTGACAACATTCAACAGAGGGGAAAATCCTGAATTGGATGGAGTGAGCCACTACCCTGTTTGTTGGTTTGTTGACGGCACAGGTGTAAATACAACTCTTCTTCTTCTGTGGTTGTTTTAGTGAAATTAGACATCTCTACTCATGTCTGAATGCTTCTAAACTGAATAAAGCTTGATGCATGTATACGAACGTCATGATCAGATTATTCGATTTGATGCACCAATATAAACAGTAGATTCAGATTATCTGATCCCTCAAATTTTACATCAGATCAAGAAATGTTGCCCATGAGTGAGACCTGTCAACTCTGTAATATCCCTGCAGACTAATTAGAGTTATTAGAGGCCGGGCCATAGATGAAACACTGTTATTTACATGAGGTTTTAAAGTACACAAAAATATGTACAAAGAGGAGTTTTTCCCTTGTCACTCTTAAGAGTTGTTGATTTTTATATCGTATTTAAATTTAGAAGCACTGATTGAAGTAAAGACAGAAAATCAGCCCTCAAGAAAGAACACTGTGTTTCTCCGGAACAGCAGGAATGCTTTGAACATCACAGGTTGATATAAAAATATCAGAGACTTTGATGAGAGTAAAAACAAGTCAGCAGCAGCAGCAGTAAAACGTGCCTCAAACACTGACATGGATGAATGTTATCTGTCACCATCTCCTGCTGTGTTCTTTACTTCTATACAGAGATGTGTAAATACATCGCAGCCTCGGGCCGTCACAGTAGGTCAGGTTTCTTTCATCTCTGCTGAAGAATGAAACAAGTATGTTTTCTCCCACATGGAGCATAAAATGAAAAGACCACCGGTGTTGTTGAACTTGGCTTCCTTTCAACATGTCACAGGCTTGAACTAAATATGACATGCCAACCATCACTTTCAAATTAGCTTCTTCGTTTGGTTCCAGGAGGAGAAAATGATTGTCACATTTGTGTGCGTTTTACTTGCCAACAGGATACTGACAAGTACACACAGCCGAGGAGACAAAAGGCAGTTAAACATTTTCTGAGAAGATGTTTTTACAAGTAGATCTGCTCTAGCAGACGTTTTGTGGCTTTGGTTTGTAGATGACAGATGGTTTCGAACATTTTGATTACAGCACCTTGTAACAGATTGTGAACACCCACATATTTACACTTTGCGTGAGTCTACATTTCATTATACGCACGAAAAGGTTTGATTCCTTTTGGGGAAACTTCTGAACAACATATGTCTGTTTCCCGCTGGACAAAGTTTGAAGCTTTGAAAAATGAGTGCTTTTTAATACATACATGACCCTGTTTCCATAATTTAAGGTGGATGGCATGAAGTGGATTGGGGTGTCTCCAACTATGTTTTGCTAGTTAAGCAGCGCACAATCTGGGCATGAAGGGGGTTGGATTAAGTCTCTTGAGATGTGTCTCGTTTCAGGAAAGACACATGGGACCTGCAGGTATGTTACTCTTTACACAGCAGCTTTTCTACCTCAATAGAAAAGACCAGAACAGACAGATTAACATCCAAAGTGGTATTCTGTTTATATTTGTAAAGTGTTTTTTGCTGGCTGTGTTTGGTTTTGGATCCTGTTCAGTATTTATAAGTAATAATGGACATAATGGCACTGAAAGTTTGAAGACTGAAAACATATGAAGCTCTTCTTGAGAGGCTGTGCATCAAAAACTTGATCAGGGGTTTATGGTCCATGTGGGTTGAGGTGAAGCCGGTCGTTTTTCTGTGTGTAACAAGCACAAGAACATGCATTGCAAAGTATTTTACTTATTGGACTATCTCCATAATGCACCTTCTAAAACTGCAGGAACGCACTGCACCAGGGACTTGACACGTCAGATCAGGCATACAGCAGTAAGTTAGTTTACAGTATGGATTTTTGCTTCTCCAAGATCAAAATAATAACGCACACCACTAAAAAAGAACGACAAACTACAGTGGAAAAGTGAAATGTAACTTGTTACAGCTTCAGTTTTTCTCTTTTACTGTGTGTGTTCTCTCTTTTTACAGCTCTTCCACCCGCTCACTTATTATTCTTCCCTCTGTGTCCTTTATCACCGTCTCCCCTCTAATCTCCTCCATCTTCTCCTGCAGTCTGAATCAACAGACCTGGTATATTTTTCTGACTCAGCGCGGTCTCTGCTGCGCTCACTTCAGTCAGACTGTGTGTCCCGAGGTTGTTGATGCTGACGGGTAATGGCTTCTCCAGACTGATCCTTATTCTCAATGTGCTGTGAAACCACCAGCCAAAGACAACAACGGGCCCCACAAGCCTCCCGAATAATCACTTTGATCATAGTGAGGGTTTCTCTTAATGGTGACCAAAAGCTGTGGCGCAGAAAAGGTTTGTTACTTGGCTGACGGTTTGAGCCTTGAACGAGCAGACTGTCCATCTGAGGAGGATCGAGAAGATTGCAACCCTGTCTGTTTTTTTTCCAGAAACACTGTTTTCTGTGTGTACATGATTATTCTAGGGATGCTTGTACAGATTGAAAACCAATTGGAAGCAGCCCAGTGAGCCGCAGTTTTCCTCTGCTGGCCACTTAACCTCTCATCTGGAGAAAATGGAGGTTACTTATTCCACCCCTGGAGTCTCTCTGGGCTTCATAAATTACTGGGACTTTGTAAAACTTGATGTAAGTAGTACGGCAACTTTCCAGCTTGCTCCGTCCCCTACGTCTAGATTTTCTCCTTCTTCCAGGAAACTTTAACTTAAACCTCACTCCTCCAGACTTTGTTCCAGTTGATGCTCTGAACTCACACTTGTGGTTGCACTTCATTCAAGGTTTATAAACTTCTCTGACAGATGAGGTGGTTATAAAAGGTTATTGTCTTTTCTTACTACTGTGCATGTGCGTGCTCAGTGTGCAACTTCGCAATGAGTCTGAAAGACGCAGAGAAGCAGAAAAACCTTCCTCAAAACTGACCCTCCATGATAAAGAAATAAGCCAAACTATTTCTCCAACAGTTTCTTTGTGCTCGAATCAAACAGAAGACTAAGAACCAGGAATTACTTCTGCAGGTCCAAATACATATCCTGGTCTAGTTAGAGGAATGCACAGTCAGACTTAAACAAAGAAACAAACGACATTTGCATTCGTTTGGAATCTCTGGACTTTCAAGCAACCCCCTTCCCAAAAGCACTTTTCCAACTATCCAAGGGCGTCTCAGTGTACTGTCTTGTGTTGTAGTACTCCAAATCGGTCTTGGTCTCAAGAACATTTTTTGAGGGTCTTGGTGTCGTATCGGAATCAAAGTCATCTTCACTCGGTCTTGTCTCGGTCTCGGTCCTCTCTGGTCTCGGTAATGTCTTGGTCCCGGTTGGTGCGGTCTTGACTACAACACTAGTGCTATCTTAACAATAAGGATTTCATGTAAGCTGGTTCTGGTAAGTCATATTCACTCGCCATATTTTGGGACACACCGAGGTCCAAATCTTTCTGTGCGGTAACTTGTTCGCCCGTGCAAACAATGAAGCTAAATGACACGAACCCCATCAACAACCACGGATGGGTTCACCCAAAGTGGGTAGACAGTAAATACAGAGGAAGCCTCTTTGGGGCTGCAGGGAACCGCAAAAACAGCAATAAGGAGGATATGCTAGCTTGCTTTTAGAACAACGTTTTAGCATTGCTGTATACAGAATGGACGCTGTCTGCCTCCTAGCTGAGTGAAGCCACCGCAAAAACAGCACCCTCTGGTGACAGGCTGCAGTATAGGTCATAAATCCCGCCTCCTCAAGCAATCTCTATGGAGCTGTGGACAACGCCTACAACGGTACTCTGCAAGTGGTGGTTCCAGGAAGTGGAACAACTCCCAGGGATACCGAGAGCAATTCGGCTTCAAATTTGTCTAACAACGGAGGGCGGAGCCAAGTTGTCCATAGTATATACAGTCTATGCTCAGTGCACTTAAGAGACCAATTCATTTACATCAACAACTACCACACAAGAGCAGGTGTGCCCATAAGCTCCTGGCGTTTCCACTTGATTTCCATTTCACTAACATTTATTTCCAAGAAGGAAATCTGTGAAATAATCTCTATGAGCAGAACACCTCCAAGTATAAGAGGGTGTCAATCTTTGTTTTTTAAGAGAAACTTTGCTGAAGGGTAGGTGTCATATTTAGACTGCCACTGGATGTGTGAGTTTGTCACAACATTTACGAAATATGCTTTTTAGACAACGTGGTCAACTTCTGTTTGGCAGCCCCTTCAGTGCATGAAGTAGAGGAAGAGACTTAAACCAAAAAGAGATCACTTATAACACTGATTGGTCAAGCTTTAAGTGCTTCACACAGTCCTCCAAGAAACACGCTCAATCCAGTTTTATTTACCTAACTTGCAGCTGACCTGAGAACTGTTTATCAGCAGTGTGTATTTCTTGGATTTCCCCAATAAAAGAAGCATAGCGAGATGGGGATCAGCCTGAGACTGCATGCACTGTGAAGTTACAAAGAGCCCCGCAGTGAGGGGTGAACATCTTGAGCCAGCTCCGCACTCGTGTGAATGGTTAGATTACTTTTGGCGGCTCTTTGTGCGCAGTGACGGAAATCAAAACAGCGGAGAGAAAACAAGTGAGAGACTTAACAAAGAAAGTGCTGAGTAAGTCCAAGGAGCGATGGGTTGTGAAAGATGAGAGATGATTTCTTTCGTAGTGGATTATTTGTTTGAATAACATCTGCAGAGAAGCGATGAAGAGGCTCCTCATAGTACCTTTTTTTTTCATCTGAGGAACTTTCCAACAAGGCTACACCTGCTTCATCTGTCTTCATCTGCCACCACCACTCTAACACTCAACATATACAGACCCTTTCCAAAAAAATTAGAATATCATGGAAAGTTTATTTAATTCAATGTGACCTGAGGAAACCTGTGCAGGTGCTTTGAGTTAAGTAGATGAATAGTGTGTGACACAGTTTAAAACATTCATACCCTGCAAAATTTGGGCTGGTTTCGTTGCGGTATTCTGATTTTTTGAATTCCTGTTTTCGTTGGATTTATGAGCTGGAAGCCCAAATTATGTAAAAATTAACAAATAAATACTTGAAATCGTTCAAATTGTGAATCTATAATCTATGAAAGTTTAACTTTTTGAGTGGAATTATGGAAACAAACTTTTCAATGATATTCTAATTTTTTTAAAAGGGTCTGTACTCAACTTAAATTCAACCGCTGAGTCTGTTTCCACAGTTTCTAATTTCACTCGTCACAGTTTTATCACCATCTCTGCTGTTAAAATGAGTTTTCAGCCAACAGGTCGTAGCTTGGTGTTACTGATAGATGTCTAGCTTTCTCACAAGCATTGCAATCCGCTACCGCACTCTTGCTCCGCGATTGTTCCGCGATAATTGCACTTTAACTAAAAAAAACGTGTTTAATCCAATTACGCGATTAATCAATGGAATATTCGGTAGGATGCTCGATTACTAACTTATTCAATAGCTGCAGCCCTGGTTGAAAGGTGTGTCAACCGTGAAGCTCTGAGAATAAGAGCTGAACGAGGATGGTGAGGAAGAAGCCAAGCCGGACCTTCCAGATTAGGGAGTCCAGACTGGGACACCATAAGTCCTCCATCCTTAAAGCGGGATATTTTACATATGAAGTCCTTGTGAAGCACAGAGTCAAACTTTTGCTTCTGAGGGTGTGCGGTTTGTTTTCTCAGCCACTCCCACCCAATGAGGTCATCACTCTGCGTCAGGTTGGCGGTGCGCTGGGTGCCGTCCCGCAGCTGTGGAGCATCAGGCTGGAAATCCCCTCATCCTCCGTCCTGGGCCTCTGAGTGTGGACTCAGGACCATGAGTGTACAGTTTGCAGGGAGGTGTGTGAGTGTGTGTGTGTGTGAAGTTGGTCTGCCTGTTGAGCTTGGCTGACTGTGTGTGTATTTAGGTGCTGGCTTTTGTGGTGTATTTGTGACTGTTTTACTTTTCAGTGTTTGTATGAGTGTATGTTTCTGTGAGTGTGTGTGTGTCTGCTTGTTTGTGTGTGTGAATTCTTTCAGCACATGTGGGCCCGGCATGTGGTTGTGTGTGGCCCGCCGAGAGGAGGCGTGTGGCATGAAATGTGTGTGTTCCATGGAGGCCCCAAAAAAAAGTACAAAGCCGGTTTGTGTTAACTTTCATAACAGTGTTATCGTTTTCCACCTCCCTGGTGTGTGTGTGCGTGTGTATCAGTGTGTGTGTGTGTGTGTGTGTGTGTGTGCGTGAATAGGGAGTAGACTGAGAGAAAATGAGGACACAGCCTGCTTGTACAATAAACTTCTCCAACTTTCTTTTTCCTCTTACTTCTTTCCCTCCATCATCCGTATCTTTCTGGATTTCACCCGGACGCCCCCGCACACGATCATACACTGGTTCAATGTTTACTCTTGGACCCCTCTCGCCTCCTAATCCCTTTTTCCTCTTAGACTCCTATTCCTTCACTTTTGCCCTCCTTTTTTTCCTCCTTTCCCTCCAAAATTTAAAAACCTCCCCGGGAAAGTTTTTCACTCCCCTAAAGCGCAGACACCCCCACTTTCCCCTCAGCACTTTCACACAGAAACTCTCCGAACAGCATAATTCACCATTTCTGTCCAGTTAGTGTGTTTCTTTGTCTCTTAGTCTCTTCTTTCACTGTTGCACAGAGAAGTGTCTGAATGGTGGAGAGTGAATGTTTAAGAGACGTGACCTGAGTCAGTCAAGTCTACTTTGATGCAAATTTAGAAATGGTTTAAGTTGGGTGAACTCACTGGGTTTTTCCAACAAAACAGAGAACTTTTTCTCTCTGAAGAAACACATCATAACAGTTGGTACATAAGAGATGATGCAAAATAAAGTCCCTCTTTTTCGCACTGGGGACATTTAAGGGGAGTAGGGCTGCACGATTCATCGATTTTAAATCCTAATCCGATTATTTGATTATGACGCTTTTAAAAAATTAAAATCGCCAAATTGATTTTCCTCTCTATCATGTCTTGTGCCTCCAGGCCATCGTAGGCTCCACCCTTCCTGCGGGAGCGCTCCCCAGTTTCCACACACACCAGTGTAAACAAACATGGCGTTTGCAGAAGAAGGCGATAATTTCGTGGCTAAATAGGACAAGAACAAGTCAGTAGTGTGGAATTGGTACAGCTTCGCATTTTCGGACAAAGAGCAAATCACTCCCCGCTGCAAAGTCTGTCTGAAGGCGGTATCAACCCGTCCACACGGAAACGAATTCAGGAGTAAACACAAAAGTTTTTTGTCGGGTTTGTGTTTCATCCGCATGGAAACGGTATTTCAGGTGACTGTTAACAGTACTTTTTGAAAACAGGTAATTAAGTGCATAAATCGTAAACGACGACCATTTCATCTCCGTGTGGATGCCTATCTGGATCTCTGAAAATGATCATGTGACACACAGCGTAACTCTTTTATGGGGCCTGCACGTGTCCGGCCAAAACAACCTTTATACACATGCTCTGTACTCTTCTTCTGTCTTTTGTGCATTTCCTCAGCAGCGTTACAGCGCCACTTACTGGCTTGGCATATCATTTTCAGTGGTTTCGTTTTGAGAGATGACAGAAAAACCTTTTTGAAAGTGAAGTTTGGTGAAATTGTCACTAAATAAATAATCGAAATCGAATTTTCAGTTTTCTGAGAAAAAAAAATCTGGATTTTATTTTTGGCCAAAATCGTGCAGCCCTAATAGGAAGACATTGGGGTGAAAGTGCAGATATGTTTATAAACTGGAACAACAGCCTCTTATGACCTCACAGTCTTAATGCTACAAATGAACGTGAAAATCTGAATGAATAATAAAACTGAGACACTGAGGCCCGATGGCTCCACTGGCTATTCTCTCATCTGTGCCTGCAAACTGTCATATTTCCTGACTCTTACTGAACAAATAGAAGCAAGATAATCTCCTGCATAGAGTTTGTTTTCATATATCTTTAAAATATGTTTGCTATTGAAAATAAATGACCCATTTTAGAGATTTGACCAATCAAAATCAAGCATTGAACTCCGTCTACATAAATCATAAGAATAGATGAGTAATAAATCCGAGTAAACAACACTTCTTAGTAATATACTGTATGAATGTAAACCCCAAAATCCTTGAGAGACCCTCCTCTTTATACGCTTCTAAATATAGATTGGAGGCGGTAATAGGAGCTTTTTTTCCTGTTGTGCTTGGAATTGATTTATATTTCTTGTTTTGTTTGTTTGGTTTTCAGGCGGGGGGATCTTCCCACGATCTATCTGGGATGGAGCCAGGAAGACGGAGAACCACGTCAGTCGCAGAGGGAAGACAAGTGTCGCCCTTCACCCCTAATCCCACCCACACACACACACACAACCATAACTGAGCACACTCAAAGACAAACACTTGTAAATCCTTTTGACACTGACAGTAAGCCGATGGCTTCACACGTTCATCTCTGAGCTGAGTGCTAACTGGCTCTGACTCATCACCCCCTCACCCTGACACACAACCATAACTAGTGATATCATACTGATATTTAAAAAGGGTTGAGGACATGCCAAGTCCAATAAAAACAAATGATGCAATAGAGGGAACAATGAGCAACAAAATCCAAACTATAGACCGCAAACTGACAATGAAGTGACAGTGATCCAAATGTTAGGAATAAACCACAAATCAAACTTTTGCTTAAGGAGGAAAACTTGATAGATGTTAAGAGTCTTCAAGACATTAACTTTTCATGTTCACTTTTTCAGGTACATGCAGCTAAAATGAGCTTGGTCATCAAAGAGGACCTCAAGGTAGAGCCACTGCTCCTCCACACTGAGAGGAGTCAGATGAGGTGGCCTTAATCAGGATGCCTCCCGTACGCCTCGCTGGTGAGGTGTTCAGGGTACGTCCCACCGGTAGGAGACCACAGGGAAAACCCTAGACATGCTAGAGAGATGATGTCCCTCAGCTGGCTTGAGGACGCCTGGGAAGAGCAGAACAAAGTGGCCGAGAAGAGGGGAGTTTGAGTTTCCCTGCTTAAACTGCTGCCCCCGCGACCCAACTCTGGATAAGTGGTAGAAGACGGACGGATGGACGGATGGACGGATGTAGTCCACACAGACAGTGCACTAGAAACAGATGATTTCAGAAGCATCCTCATGGACTTTAATGAATGAATCCAGAGTTTATTTACTTTTCAGCAGCCTTGGGGTGACTTTCAGCTTCCTATTGTTGCGCTAACGTCCACAGAGGAAACACTTGGATGTTTACTAAGGCAGACAGGTTAAGTGCTTGTCTCTGAGTGAGACCGACTAAGCAGACTGAGACACAAACTGCTGGAAAGTGTCTGTTTCCCCAAAACTTGTTGGTTTTGGACACAAACTTGCTGGCTGTGGTATGGAGAAGACTGATATTTAGCAATCAACTGGTCGTATTAATATCAAGTTGTCAACAGGATATGACTTATTTCTGCTAGCTAAAGATGAGGGTCTTCTAGCTCTGATAATAAACCTTTCCAGTACATATTGGGACAAATATGTCATTATTATTGAATAAAAACAACTGTTTGTATTTAATGATTTAGAGACTGATCCGAATGACATTTGATAGATAATGAGACGTAGGTTAGCTCTTTGCATCAGCCTTTAAACAAACATCTATGATGTATTTGGTCATGATATTCTGATTCATCTATTAGTATTGTTTTTGTGTCGGCCCACATTTAATGAATGACCAATGAGGGGAAAATAATATGGAGGAAAAGTGTAAAACTGGGTGGAGAAAGTTCTGTGGGTGGAAAGAGGTTTCCAAATCCAGAAAGGAGATTTATCACAAACCAGGACCACGCTTGGAACGAAGCACCCGGGAAAGTCCCGAAAGGTGGAGATGAAGAGAGAGAAGACGGCAGGAAGGAGTGAGTCAGGGCCTGCTGGTGTTATTGTTGGAGAAAGAGAGGGAGAGAGATTGGAAACAAAGTCTGTGTGTGTGTGCGTGTGTGTGTGGATATGAATATACTCGATACCATCATCATTTCAACCCTGTTATAAAACACAGACATCTGGTAGTATGGAGGTGGAAAAGTTCAGATATATTGAATTTGACAAACACCTCTAAACAAAGAGACTAAAAACACATGTAACCACTTCTATATGAAACGTCTGAACCTTTTGGAAGTATGGTTTTTACCTTACTCACTGTGATTTTGTCAACTTGCAGTAGGTTTTGTCAACTCTAAATAGGTTAAATACAGTGAGCTGACCTTCTGACTTTTAGTAAGTTTGCAAAAACCAGCTACCTTCACAGTCAATCATTTCACCCTGATGCCTCTGTCTTGTTGTATGCTTACTGCGTGAACATATTCGGACACAAATGTACAACTTCACATGATGATCGTACTTTAAAATTGGAGTTTTTAGAGCTTTTCTATTCCATGTAGAGGATTAGTGATTTTCTGGAATTGCCCAAATCCCATCCAAGCAACACATAACAGTCTGGACTGAGACTGGGTCTTTAAACAGACTGTCCTCCTTTTCACAGTCATTCAATATCTGTCTCTTCAGAGCTGGGTTGAGAGACAGCAAGTAGTATCCTACTTATGAAATGCAAAAACAAAGATAAAAAAGATAAAATGTTCAATTAAAAGCGATACTGATTTAAGGCCATATTTAGGGCCTACTTTTAGGGTACAATGACATTTAGTACGGCAATGATAACAAGTCAATTCATCGTTAGACTACAGCACATACAAACTGTCTGTTTGTAATTTTATATGTCTCACTTTGATTGACAGGTAAAGATGAGACTTTAACTACATTTTCATGTAGAGAAATCAGAGGAGATATCCAAAGTATAATCGGTAGCAAGGTTTTTGGCCAGGTGTGGTAAACATTAGGGGCTTACCCAGACCTCAGAGCGTTATCTCTATGAACACCGTCTACTTAAGCTTCTTATTTAATGATATCTAATGAGTAATAATTACATAAGATGTCGTATTCTCGTAAGTAGTAACAAGCAACCAAGCAGCCTACTGGTCAATTAGTCGAACATTTGATTTTTACAAGGCCACCTCCTGACTCTTAGGGGTGGGAGAAAAAAATCGATACAGCAAAGTATCACAAAATTTTTGTCTGGTAAAATATTGGATCATCTTATTTACCAAGTATCAATTTTTTTTGCTAATTAATTGCTAATATGAAGTCGAAATCTACAATAATGGAAAAATAAAATCAAGTGTTTGTCCAGTGAGGTTGGCAGAGGTGACATCATAGAGCAGGAGAGAGTTGGTGCAACAAATAAGGTTTGCAAGAATTTAGCAACTTGAAAATAAAATACTGCATAAATAAGACAAACATAAAGGAAAGACAAATGATAAATTAGCTAAATGGTTGAAAAAATTGTATAAATCACAACATATTGTATCATAATACTCACTGTATTACAAAATGTTAAAAATCGCAATAATATTGTATTGTGGCCCAAGTATCATGATAATATCATATCGTGGGACCACTAATGATTCCCACCCCTAATGGCTCTACCCCCGATCCAAAACATCTTCTCATTTAAGTGGTAAACAATATAACTGTGGAGTGTCAACAAACACTACAGACAATGATTATAGAGAATATTCCAGTCATGATTTGTTTGTGTTGATATAATGCAAAAACAGTCCTGTGATTGTGTCTGTGGGGGGGTTTGTGTGTGTGTGTGTGTGTGTGTGTGTAATAGAGTGGGATTAAACCACTCAACAACATTGAGCAATCAAGTGAGCTGAGGTAAGATCCCGGCAATATTTCTCTAAGCTGCTAAAAATACCTGTTTGTCTGAGAGCGAGGGTCTGGGGGGGAAGCGGGTGGTCCGTGCTGCTGATACTGCAGCCGTGCCAGAGCTGCTTTCTCACCGGTGTTGTCTTTCAGCAGCTGGCACAGAGGCCCTGAGCAGACCACCAGCCTCATTCTGCTGAATCATTATAGAGCTGTCACAAGCCTCTTATTTCAACACTGGCCTCAGCGGATGAGAGGGATGTTCAGGTTCATCTAAAGCACCTCCACGACAGAGGAGTCATGACAGAGTGTGTCTACCACAAAGCGATGAGGGGAAATCACAAAACAATGGAGAAGAGTTGGAAAACAAAAGGAAAAACCGTTGAGTGAAAGTGAGAGACTAATTGAAGAGGGAGAAAGGGTGGTCTCATGTTTGAAACCACCAAACACGACCTCAACAAGAACCAAATGGGCATTAAAGTGATTGAAGGTCATTAAACTCTCTTTTATAGCGGCCACTGAGCATCACTGAGGATGTAAACATCACCACTGGAAAACTTTTATGATGTGACCGTGACGTAAAAATCAAGACTCACTGATCTGCCGGCATTATTGGGGTAACAACCACAAATTAAAACATGATCGCTTAAGGCAATAAAACCTTCCACCACTTAGAAAAGTGAAAACTTTCCCAGCGCTGACAGACTGTGGACAGTTCAGAGGTCGTTTGTACAGTTACACACTTTGACTCCTGGGAGTCAGCCACCACACAGCAGAGGATTTATGTCTCTCACTCCTCCTCTTCCTATCGTCCCTGAAGCAGACGTTTCCCAAAGTCAAACTGTGAGCACAATGATCAACAAGTCACTGGAGCTCCATTTATTTCCTCTAATGAGTGACCTGGGAAAGTTTGGTAGAAGCTGGACACTCTTGCCAATAATGAAATCATATCATCAACACCTCATCAGATTCTTAGGATGATTTGTCTTCACACACACGGAGGTTTTATCGTTTTTTTGAAATCATATTTGTAAAATCACAAGATGCTGAAGACTTAAATCTGGATGAGGTGGAAGCAGAGCTGCAGCTGTCATGGGTTGTTTCTAAAGTGGTCCAAGGAAGGAAAACAAAAAAGTGAAGACAGATTCACAGGCGACCGGGACATAAGGTCCTTTCTCACCGGGACTGTTTTTGTCATGCGATTATTTCGGACGACAATATTTTTTTCGAACCGTATCCTGTCAATACAAGCGTTCACATCAGCAACGTTTTCCCTTCCTGCGATATAGTGGCATTTATTTTTTTAAAGTTTCGCATACTGTATGTCCACTTCTGACCAATCAGGTTGTGAGACTGAGACCCTGCCGGACAGATGGACGGATGGACCGATAGTATCAAAGCAAAACACCTTTCATTTAGAGAGCTTTAGCCGAACCAACATGCAACTTCAACAGGAGGAGCATGCCAGCATGACCACACAAATACACATCCATGTACTGATATATATAAGGTGCTTAGCAGGAAGCCCCTGACCAGAACATACTTGGCTGTAGGCCACCTAGCAGACCAGAAGTCAACATGATGAACTCTATGTTAGCGAATGACAGGAGCATGATGAGCTAAAGTAACGGAAGCATAGACTGTATCTACTATGGACAACTTGGCTCCGCCCTACATCAATATACGAATTTGCAGGTGAATCGCTCTCGGGATTTCTGGGGTTTTCTCGACTTCCTGGACTCACCACTTGCACAGTAGCATTGTACGCATTCAGTGGGAGAGTCACTGTGATGACGCTCGGCTCAAACAACGTATCAGGTGTCAATCATAGAAAACATGAACCCCTTAATAACTTTAAAAAATGGAGCTGCACAGAAAAAAGAGGACTTGAG